AGGTTGGGCAGGGCTGTGCTGCAAGGAGAGAGAAAATGGTGGAGGCACATGCCTCTTCAGAGATTTCTCCAAGCACACCTGTGTGATGAGTTTATCCAAGCGAGTAAAAATTAGTCATTCATAAAACTTCATTATCTCGCACTTACAATCGGCTAGGTAATATTATTTGGATATAGTAGGATATTGGTTGTATCGTGAGCAATAAGCTGACTAGCCTGCTGAAGGTCTTTGAAGGTCTTTGGTGAGGAAGGTTTGGCGCTGTAGCCCGGGGGAATCTGGAAGGCAAGATAACATACCGCGCTGCGAAACCCGGTGCAACAACTCACCAGGTAACGGGGCCTTCACAGGAGTCTCGTTGGGAGAACGAAAATGCAGCCACACTGAAAAGGGTGACCCTAATTAGTGCTGGGGGGGCCATCTGCAGGGGCTGAAATTAGGCTGCCAGAGTCAGTGCTCTCCCCAGGCCGAGCTCTCACCGAGCCACGTGTGCTCACCAAAAGGCTTTTCCTTCTGCAGCACAGAGTGCAAGGGGGCACGGGGGTATTTTGGCGGGACAGGTGCAGACAGAGAACTGCTGACTCCTCTTTGTGTTGGTTACACTTCACACTTGCAGGTGACTGCTTGCATTTGCTTCACATGGGCCACTCGCCCTTCTGGATACTGAGACCTCCCAGGTCTCTCCCCGTACCAGCGAGACGGGCGCAGGTCCGTTGTCCTGCTGAGCTTCCCCAGCCACAGCATACCAGGGCTGGATTTGGCTTTGTGAGAAAAATTATGAACAGGCACGTCTTAGTGAGGGGGGTGGTGGGTACTGTGGCATCCACTGCTGCAAAACCTGATTAGGAGACTCAGCCTGGCAAGGAACAGCAGCTGAAACTCCTGGGAACTGCTTGGACCTCTCCGTTGAAATGGTCTGCACATTGGTGTAGAGAAAAACAGAGGTGACGGCGTGGGAAAGCCACACTGACAGCAGTCTAACCCCAAAGGGATGAAGCACAAAGGCATGAACTTGCTCACTTGCTGTCCCTGGGCATGGTGTCCCCTGTGAAAACCACCACCTGCTGTGTGCTGACCAGCAAACCATTCCCAATAGCATGCTAAGCCAAGGCACTGGGTCACGCAACTGCTCCGGACTTTTGAAGTTGTAAATCAGTTAGTTGCTCATAGCACAAAGAAATACGACCTAAGGATCTGTCATCACCAGTAAGTCCTAAAGGACGACGGCTATCCTGGGATCTAACAGGAAGTAAGTACTTGAGGTCTCTCTGTGTAGACTGTTATCCACACTCACCCAAACGCACTTGAAAAAAATGCCTTGAATTCTTAAAACTAACATTTTTGGTGAGAAAACAAGCTGGCAAAACCAGAATAAAAGCCACAGCCACTGAGAATATGAAGATGGCAGGCAGAGCCAAGGTAGAGCAAAGTGAGATCCCAGAATGAGAATGTACACCAAAAAGGAGTGTGCAGGACCTGCAGAGTCGGGGCTACACAAGGTGGGACCTTCCTCTCCTCATCTTCAGCGTCACTCTGCGGGCTCCACATACCTGAATCAGTCACCTTGGGCCCTGTTCACAGCCCTCAGAGAGAAAAAGACACCTGTGGGCTGGAAATCATCTGGCTAGTTCAGATGTCCACAGTAGGACAGACCGAACTGCCCAGAAAGGCCTCCTTCCTGCCCAGCTCCATGGGGTGGCAAGACAAGCAGCTCTATGTATCTGCTCTCCTTCCTTGGGTTTCCCCATCGGTGCCTCTTAATGCTGGAGAGAGACACCCAAGGGACAGGAGACAGAGACAGGGAACACCACTGCCCTGGCACAGGTTTCTGACCTGATGCCAGCTTTCCTAGCCGACCTGGTGGCAGAGTCCCAGGAAAGACAAATCACTGCATGGGAACAGAGGCATCCTGGCTGCTGGGAATCGATTGCCTTTTGGAGCTCACGGTCTGGCCAGCAGAGAGACACAAGTAGATATGCGCAGTTCTCTCATTTATTTTGTCAGTAGATCGACAAGCTTCACTCGCTAATGTGATTGAAATAGCTTCACATTATTGAACTGCAGGAAGTCCGCCCTTTTCTGTCCCTTCTTCAACTTTTTTTGTTTTGTTTTGTTTTTGCTTATATGTACCTCTATCCAGCACTAGGAAGAGAAATTAAAACAGAAACTTTAAAACCATTTTTAGTGTTTCAGGCTGGTTACTTTACCCTATTAATCTGTACAATAGAAAGAAATCCGAGTGCACCCACAGCGCCTGGAGACTGACGGGTGGCCACACAGCGTCATTTCAGATGTTCACCCAGCCCTCTGCCCGTCGGTGACCGCAAGGCTTGTCTGGGGAGAGGTGCGGGATAAGCACGTAACGAGGCTTCTCTTCTACCAAAACGCAGGACTGTCACAAACGTGAATAATCAGTTTTAACAAGCAAATATGAGAAGCCCAAGTGAAGAATTACGCTTTGTATCTCCGCAGCTCTGCTCGCACACTCACGTCGCTGTACAGCGAGCGCTGAACAAGTAAGCAAAGTTCTGAATATTTTCCCGGGGAGGGGGGGAAAATAGGTCAGCTACACAATTTTCGTCAGCAAACGTGCTACCATAACAGGAATCAATTCTCTGTGACACAAAGCATTTGTGCTGATGAGGCTGTTACGCAGACAGTGAATGAGATTTAAAATCACAAATGCCTGGTAGTCCTAAACTGTCTGCAATCATGACAGCTGCGTGCAGCAAATGCTTCAGCTTCTAATAAAGGCTGAATAGAAAACGTTTGACATCGCAGACTGATTGCCTGTGTGGTTCTTCAGTGAGTGAGGATATTTGACTGTTTTTTTAAAGCAATTGTAGCCAAGGAAAAGGTCTCAGAAATTGTTGATTTTGAAGCAATGCAGGAAAGCTGCATTTGGCTGACATGGAGAATTAACAGGGGAGAAAACTAGGACAGACAAGGAGCTCAGAGCAGATGGGTGCTAGCAACAAAGAACAAACCTGTAGCAATGTGAAAAAGGGATATAACTGAAAACACCTCAAAAAAATGTGTATTTTAACATGCCCACTTACTTCACATCCCGTTCCCAAACGTCTCTGGAAAGGGTATGCTTCCTGCTACAGCTAGAATCACACACTTCTGCTGGCAAAGCTCCCGTTCAAAAGGAAGGTTTCAGACAAGGTGCTAAACTGAAGGAAAAAAGAATACAGAAACTGAAATCTTCGTCTGATGAGAGCAGCTAAATCGCACGATTCTGCCACAAGTCTCTAATGAGCTACCGGTTCCACTGAAGCTTGAAAACTTGACCATGATGCCATTAAACAGCTTGGAAAGCAGAGGGTAAGGCACAAGCCACAAATGCAATGCCCTGTGTTAAAATCAGGCGGAATGATGGTCTCAGGACCCAGATTTGGTTTCCAGGAGGTTGCCCTTTCTGCCAGGCTGAGTCCAAGAAGGGGGGACTCACTGCTCTGGGGCGAGGGTTGCAAAACCTTCCTTGTGAGCCAAGTTCAGGTGAGAGTTTCAAAAGCTCTCAGGTGAGAGTTTCCCAATCAGCTCTCTGCCAGAAACAAAAGTCCTCTTTGGGCAGAACAGTCCATTA